TATGCACACCGTGGCATAGTTCTTCAAACCACATGTGTCCATACGCCACAGCAGAATGGCGTAGTTAAGCGAAAGCATCGTCATATCCTAGAAACAGCACGAGCACTACGATTTGAGGCTAAGTTACCGGTTGAGTTTTGGGGGGAGTGCGTCCTGATAGTTGTATATATTATCAATAGGCTACCAACTAAAGTTCTTAATGGCAAGACCCCCTATGAAGTTCTTTTTGCCGCACCACCTACATATAGTCATATGAAGGTTTTTGGGTGCCTAGCCTATGCGTGCCATCCTGTGTGTTCAGATAAATTGGAAGAATGAGGTTGTCCATGTGTTTTCATTGGGTATCCATCAGAAAAAAAGGGGTATCTCCTCTATGATCCTAAAACTCAAACACGGTTTGTCTCTCGTGATGTCATTTTTGTGGAGACAGATTTTCCCATGGCTTCTCCAACGCCTTCACAACCAGTCTCCACACCTCTACCTCAAGCTTTTGATGAACCTCACATTGGCCATGATGAGGTTAGGCCCACATGTGACAATGATGAGCTTGTTAGAGATCATGCCCCGCAGGGTGAGCAATCGATTATATTAGCACCACCTCAATGAAGTGAGAGCATAAGAACTCAACCTTAGCACCTACAGGATTATATCACAGATATACCACCATCTACTGTCCCCCTTGCTACTGAGCGGCCTAGCACCACCCCTCCGTCATGTGCCTCGGTAAAGTACCCTATCTCACAATTTGTCTCTTATGCACAATTTTCATCTTCTCACAAAGCTTTCTTAGCGGCCATTGATGCACACAATGAGCCCAAGAGTTATTTTCAGGCTCAGCAACATGCTCATTGGTGAGAAGCCATGCAGCAAGAGATCGCTGCTCTTGAGGCTAACGGGACATGGGATTTGGTGCCCCTGCCAGCCGATAAACATGTTATTGACTCCAAGTGGGTCTTGAAAATCAAGTATCTGCCATGTGGAACCATTGATTGCTTCAAAGCTCGACTAGTGGCCCGTGGTTTCACTCAAATAGAGGGTGTCGATTTCCATGAGATATTCGCCCCCGTTGCTAAGCTTTTTACTGTTTGTTGTGTCCTTGCTGTCGCCATTAAGAGACGATGGCATGTTTGTCAACTTGATGCGAATAACGCTTTTCTCCACGGTGAGCTTGATGAAGATGTCTATATGCGCATTCCTCAAGGCTTCACGTGTGAGGGGGAGACAAGGGTATGTAAACTCAAGAAGTCCCTCTATGGACTAAAACAAGCATCTCGCAACTGGTATTTCAAATTCACTCAAGCTCTTCTTAAAATTGGTTACTCGCAAAGTAAGGCAGATCATTCCTTGTTCATATACCAAACGGCCACTTCATATGTCACATGCTTGATTTATGTCGATGATGTTTTACTTGCTGGTGATGATGAGAAGAAGACACAGGAAACAAAGAGATATTTAGATCGCAAGTTCAGCATCAAAGATCTAGGAAAGTTGAAATACTTTCTTGGCATTGAGGTAGCTCAATCACATAAGGGTTTTATCTTGAGCCAGAGGAAATATACGATGGATATCCTGAAAGAAACAAATATGACCGATTGTAGACCAAGCTATTTTCTCATGGAGCAACATTGCAAGTTGCAGAATAATGAAGGAGACCCAGAAATCGACGTGGGACGATATAGGAGACTAGTTGGAAAACTCCAATATCTGACAGTGACACGACTGGGCATAGTCTATCCAGTGAATATTCTAAGTCAATTTACATCATCACCGAAGGACTCACACATGGTGGCAGCTGAGAGAGTCTTGCATTACCTAAAATGCACAGCTGGGCAAGGCATCTTACTAACATCAGAAGGGTCGTTACAACTTGAGGCATACTGTGATGCGGATTGGGCTGGATGCCCATTAACTCGACGATCATGCAGTGGCTATCTTATGTCGTTGGGAGGCTCGCCTGTTTCATAGAGAACAAAGAAGCAGCATGTAGTGGCAAAGTCATCAGTAGAGGCAGAGTATAGGGCAATGGCTTGTGCAGTGAGTGAAGTGATATGGCTTTGCTGGTTACTTAAAGAACTACGAGAACCACAATTAAAGGCGACTACTCTCTATTGTGACAACCAAGCAGCGTTACATATTGCCATGAACCCAGTATTTCATGAACGCACCAAGCATGTGGAAATGGATTGCTATTTTGTAAGAGAAAGATATCAATCAGGAGAAATAATACCGCAGAAGATTTGGACAAAGGATCTGCTAGCAGATATGTTCACAAAAGCTCTTGGAAAGGATAGACTCAAAGGACTGCTAGACAAGTTGGGCATCGCAAATCCACATGCACCAACTTAAGGGGGAGTGTTGGAGATCACCAAATATAATGCCAAGGATATGGGATCAGCGAAATATGAGGGATAGCAATAGATATGATATTTTTGTTATTATTATAATAATTGTAGAGATACAATAGGATATTCACGATATCACGTGACACCACGACTGTATACTTGTACATATATAGATGCTCTATCAGTAAATGAAAATATCTTCTCCTCTGCAATCTTGATTTCTTCAACCTGCTATATATTTACATTATATACATAGATATATAAAGAAAAACACTTAAAATTACTAAAAAAATAAAAACTTATAGCCTGTGATGCTCATCACTACAGTAAAATCTAAACCATCATTTTGAATGGTTTAGATTTTACTGTAGAGATGAGCATCACAGGACTTATCCGTCATCTAGGATTTTTCTATCAATCTTCAGCTGAGTTAATAAGGTAACGGTCAAACGAAACTTTTGTGTTAGCCTGGGATGTGAACCCACCGTTTTAATTAGTTTAGAACACTGGATACACAAAAAAATTATTTTAAGACACTGGGCGCACCTGAGAAAATAGTTCGGGGAGCTAGGTGCACCTTGGCCCATCAAAATAATACACATCAGATGCCACGTGTCCGCCACATCAGTCAACCTTTGGCTGAGTTAGCAAATAACGGTCAAACTTAACTTTTCCGTTAGCCCGAGATATGGATGCACTGTTTTAATTAGTTCGGGACACTGGATGCACCAAAAATTAGTTTAGGACACTGGGTGCACCTGGAAAAATAATTCTGGGTGCTGGGCGCACCTTAACCCAAAGAATTTAAATATCATTTGTGCGAGTCCTAGCTATCTGGTTTTTTCCAACTCTTTTACTTATTTACTTTGCGATGACCCAGGAAAAAGTTGAAATTGGCCAACAAAACGTATATTGTTGCCATCATGCATGTACACATGAAAATTATAAGACATCTTTTTGTTCCTCGATCCATTTGGCATTTAGTTGCCATGTCGATAAGACAAGCAAACGCAAAGAAACTTTCTACGGGTGAATACACTGGTGCCTTCATTTAAAGATGCATGATTAATGCATGAACTCGGTTATATTATTGTCTCTGTTACTATATTATTCTTGTCATCCTTATTCGATGTGCTCTTATACGATTCTCCATTTAATTATAGTCACGAGATAAGGTCATCAATTGATTGAGTCACTTCTTTTTTTTTTTTTTTATCTAAAGTAATGCATGATGAATGCTTTAATTATCAACAAAAAAGTATGACTATATTCTTGTTTCCTTCATTCCTTTCTTTTGATGATTCCAAATTTGAAGGGGCTGTGTTACACGTACGTTGCAGGAAATTAAAGTCCTCATTACTGAATTGTCAAGTTTATTATTAACAAGGGAAAATGACCAAAAAAAAAGACCATGAAAATTACAAAATCCCAAATCAAGTATTATTCTTATAAAAATGTTTTTATTTGCAAGTCAAATGTTGTTAAAACCTGTTAAAGTATGGTAAGGAATTATGATTTAAAATTTAGTCATGATTTGTCATTCTTCTTATTAACAATCAATATATAATTATACGCTTAGTGGGAGACCCATAAGTCACGAACCATATTACCAACCCATCTCTTAATTTCATTTTTTTAATCAATATCTAAGAATTAGCTGTACCTAGTTTTTATTAATAACTTGATGGTTTATAACCATCATTATTGGACTCGTTCAAGTGCTGATTCTTGCAATTTTTTGTTTGCTTGTAATTTTAATAATAACGAAGTGTGTTTTTTACCCTTTTGTTGTTCAGTTTTGTCAAAGCCGTGTTGCAGAGATATGAAGAAGTACGCAGTAAGTGAAAGTAATAGGAACGATACACCACAATACACATTAAATGTGATAGATTCATAAATTTTAAAGGTATGGATATAATATATAAAATAAATTAGTAACCCTGCTAAAAATGATAGGCAGTATAAAAGAAAATTGAATTGTAAACAGTCATTTTTCCCCAGTGAACAGCATCTCGTCTTGGGAGATAATGTGGGGTAATATGTGCTCCAAGAATCGGCTGCATTTTATTCAGCCCTGTCCTTTCACACCGTTATTTCTTCAACCTTAAGAAATTTAGGTCCTCATTTTTCGAAACTAGATTGCTTTAAAGTAAAAGGGGAGACCATATAAGATCTGGAAACAGAAGTTTAACTCGCCACAAAAGTGACGTTTCTACATGTTTTACCATAGCATTATATAGGTTCATGACATTCCGGGGACAACTTTTTTTTGTTGGCGCAGACATCTTTGGCGTATTAGATTTTAGATTCGACAAGGAAAGAAAATAACAAAAGAAGAATTAGACTTTACAGCTCCTTAATCTCAATTATGTGATCTCGCTTTGGAAAATATTCAAAAGGACTGAAAGAAAGTAAATAATGTCTAGTAATATTGGAGGGCCAGTATGAGTATGACACTCTATTTTGGCGCCAACGAGGTTTTAGAGATGATGAGTATCAACACCATTACTCAAACTGTGGTCAATATGAATATGCCAGTCATCAAAAATACAAGTAATCATGCGAATAGCAAGATGTGAATACAACAACTTGAAGCTAAACTTGACTGCTAGAAGCAATCATGTGACTATGCACTAGATAAGTTTGAAAAACAAGTTAATGAGAGAATTGATAAGCTTATGAAATTCATCAGTAATTCAGAGAACCAAGTGGAAAAGGCTCTCCAAGTAACCAAACCAATAGAGATCAAAGCTCCTTCATTAAGTATGGAAGAAGATATTGTAAAGCCAAGTGAAGTGGTGCCCACAACTCATGTAGTAGCCATTCATAGTACTTAACAAGTGCCACTGAACATGTTTGCGATTCAATTGAGTGAGATCCTTGATTTTATTATCGTTAATGGTAAAAAAATTTCAAACATTAATCAAGTTGTTCAATTGCCACAAGTACAAGTAGTTGAGATTGTGGTGAGCAAGATTCAGTTTCATTATTCTATAGTGCCATCTCGTTTGAAAGCCGCACCTCCTAAGATTGTCACATCGTTAAACAAATCACTGCAACAATATCTTATACGTTGGAAATACTACCTAAGATCTAGTTGCTCGCTGTTGCCAATGGTTCCTCTTTGGTCCCTCACTTGTTAGAAGGGATTCCTAGACGAAGTACTGTGCTGAACTCTTGACCCCTCCCTTCTCTCTTAAGATTTGTGCATCAATTTTAACTCGTCGGGAGCCGAGTTCTTTAAGTAGGAGAGAAATGATGGGATATGAAAACAAAAAATTATGATTTTATTATATTTCTAGGATATTTAGATTATATAGCTTTTAGGATTATTTACATTTCTTAATATTTTATTATTAGGATTAGCTACTGTTGTTATTATTTTTAGTTTTATTATTATTATAGTATAAGTAACTTTAGGTTTTTGATTAGACAGCAAACTTGAATCATTGAATCAAATTGACAGTTATCGTTCTTTCTCCTTTCCTCTCTCGACTTTCCCTTTCTCTGTTCTGTTTTATCCTTCTGCTTCTTCTTTTCTTCCTCATATCTCTTCCCTTTCCCATTCTCTCTTCTTGTCTTACATCAGTAAGTGCCTAGAACCCTACTCCATCTTTGTTTTCTCTACTTGATGAACATTTTGCAAGATGATGATGGTTTAAATTTGAGGTTAGAGGGGGGAAATGAATAACAAGTAAGAGAGGTTAAAAAATCAAGTTCAAATGATGGAATAGAGATTTTGATGGTTATTTATTTATATGCATGTTGATCTGTGTTGGTTAGGAGTGTGTTTCCAAATCTGGAGGTTTTAGATTGAAGGACGATGTTGCTCGAGATTTAAAAAACCAAAAAGAAGGTAGTGTTCATATGCTATGAAAATTGCATGCATGGGAGTCTCTGTTCTATGTTCTGTGATTTAGTATCCTAGGTTGTAGATATTGAATTGTAAAATGTAATTCTACAAGACATATTCTGTTTACAATATTCTTGATTAGTTCGAACACGCGAGGAGGAATTGTATTGCAACCTAGCTGTGTCATGTTCGTGTAGAATGATTACACCCTCTAATTCCCAGTAAATTCAATCGTGCCTTTCAGTTTTAGTGCAGCTAAACTGAGTGATTGGATTGACTGATTGTTTTGGTTTTTGGCGCACTTTTAACTAAAAGTTTGTGTATTTTTCACACTTTTGTCCTGTTCTCTATTTTGATTCAGGGGCATTTTTGTATTTTCATCATAGGTCTTAGGGCAAAAAGTAACAATCATTAGGTAAATTACCAGCTATGTCATTTTATATACAAGTTCATGAGTATTTTTATCCATCTTAAAAAACATATGATACTAAGCACATTTTAGGTAAAAGTTTATAGGTATTTTTATACCTTCATCCGATAAATTACAATAATAAGCATGTTAACAATATGAAAAATTAGAAAGTTTACCTTATAGTACGTCTAAAAAATTTTACGATCTTTACTTTCAATCAGTATTTTAACTACTACTCCTCTAATCCTATTTATAAGAAAGAGAAAATATTTTTTGGTCTTATTTACAAGGCATTGAAAGAAATTTTTTGTATAGATATACAATTTTACCCTCTATTTATTGTTATATTGATTTTGTTTACACGAGGTATAATATAATAGATAGAATAAAGTTGAAAAGTTATTAAATTTTAAATAAAAGTTAATGAAATTTAAGGTTTTTTTTTTTTAGCCCATGTGAAATATGCTGAAAGTGAATTATAAATAGGATCAGAAAAGTAGTTTTTAACCAACTACAATTCAAATTAAGCTGCCATTCAAACATCATATGTATACATTCTAGAAGCTTGTTAACACCTGCCATAGCCCTCGACATATTCAAATCTTCCTTCTCCTATTACGATTATTCAAATACGCACACACACATGCAAGGACGCTAGTCAGGGTAACAACCTGCATAATATCTTATATTTGTCGTTTTTTCTCCAAATCTAATGTTAGAATGGCTGCTTTAATAAAGATTTGTAGTGAAGCGCATTTATTTTTTAAAAAATAGCCTAAAGTAAAGTAAAGCAAGTACAAAAGATGTAAAAATATTATCTTTCAATTAATTAATGGAAAAGTTGAAGAATATACCAGCTTTATCGGAAGAAAAGAAAACAGATAGTCTCACCGGATAATTAGTAGCAATAATTGTAATGACTAATGATGCATAACGTCATAAATTATAGTGATGCTGATTGATACGTCACATTTTCTTTACCATGAAAATAACATTTACTCCCCCCTTATTATAGGCCCTTTTAATTAAATTATGTGGTTTAAGAAAATAATTAAAATTAGTTGAAAATAATTAATATGTAACAAATGTAATTTTTTTCCAAATGGAAAAGTTGAAATTTTTGACTTGTCATATCAGAGCTTCATGTTCATGTTGCAGAGATGTTGGCAAAGTGATGAGCTTTTTTTCTATTTGGATTAGATTTTTACTCAACTAATGACATTTATGACAGCATGTGCATGATTCTTTTTGACTTGGATGCAGGTGACTCTCCTTTGTTTCAAAAAGAATGCAAGTGGTTTGTATGATCATAATTAGATCTTTCTGTATGAAAGATATCCTATCATAGATAACCTTAGTTTTGGAAATTACTACTTGTATGTGTATTCGGTTTTCATGTGTGTTTTTGTTTTCATCTTGCTGGTCACTTTTTTTCGCTCTTCTGCATTCAAGAATTGGTTTTAAGGTTTTCTTGGATTTTCAAAGTTGCAATCTAGAGTGGACGTTCTCACCTGCTTCACTATTTTGGGTATGTTGAAGTTGTCTAAGGTGGATGATGCAAGGGAAACAAGCGTGCAGTGTAAGAAAACATTGAAATATCATCATTAGTTGCTTGAAGATTAAATCCGAGGTTCAAAATATGCTTTGAACTAATTGGCCTTTATTCCTCATTTATTTTTCAATCAAAGCCACAATAATTTCATATTTAATATATGAATGTACTGAATATTTAATTTATTTGCATATACTCCTTTTTTTTAATTATAGTCCTTGCATGTATTTCATTTGTAGATACTGATCTTTAGTTTCACTATCGAGCATTTAAAACATACAAATAGGATTTTTCGCTCATGCCAAGTCTATCCACAGGGGTTAAATCTCATTACCGTTCTTTTGTATAGGATGTTCTAATTGCATTTTCCTTTTACTTTTGGTGAAATTCCACCCTCTTTCATTAGTTTTATGGTTGTCACTGTCATGTTGTTTACATAATGTGAGAACTTCTTTTCTCCTTGAGAAACCTGTGTTTAATGCATGCATGGTCTATAAGGAAACATCTGAAATGCTCACCGACAAAATTGTGTATGTTTTTCCTGTGCACAGTGCTGCAAGAAAAAATGGAAGCAGAAAGCATAGAAGATCTGTGGTGAGACGAGTTGATGGAGGGCATTGAACCAAAGGTTGTGGTTGAGGGAATCGGAAGATATAGGAAAGAATTGGTTGGAAATATTGTTTGCTGAAACATGATTATGTGATTTTTCTTTATCTTTATCTTCAATTTCAATTTCAATTAATTTTGTTGTGTGAGATTTTTCTTGAGCGATTGCGTTTATGATGACGGTATGACCTTATCAATATATTGCTTTTTAAATTAAGTCCGAATATCGGATCTTCACTAGCCATAAGAGTAATGACCGACGATGTTATAATCTAACATAAAGTAAGATTATTCCTTTTTACATCTTGGTGGGAACTGTGGTTTCTATTTAATGGCATGCATTGTTTGAAGTTGATGGCTATTTAAAATAAAATTGGAATTGAATATTTGAACAATTTTTTCTTTGGTGAAATGTTGGTTGAGCAATTTACATTGATGTGAATTTCCAGCTAAATTAGACTTAGAATTGAATATGTTTGTATTGTATTGTTCGTTTGATTTGAGTTTCCCTATCCAAGACTTCATTATTGTGGAGAGTTACAAATAATTTCACTTATGCACCTATTTTTACTCAAGTAAGAATATTTGGGCCTGTGATGTAATTTTTTTTCACTTTATGTGAATTTGTTGTACTAATTTCAAATAAAAAATAGTATAATTCCCTAATTACTATCTACCCATGCATTGCGTGGGGTAGCACATGCTAGTCTATATAAAGAGAAGAATAAGATCTGAGTGGCCATAATTGCACAATCAGGTGAAGCAAAATGAGAGGCTTAACTGTGTTTCACCTTCTTCTTTCGTCATTTCTGCTCTGCTGCTTCGTACAGCTGCAGCAACCTGCCTATGCCGTGAGAAAGGTAAGCAACCATAATTTGTTTCGTAGTTGGTTAATTATAGTAGTATTATCCTGTCGTCGTCAACCGCGCACCTTAATTTCATCTTGCAGTCGCACGTTGTATACTTGGGATCACATTCTCATGGTCCAAAACCTTCCTCTGCTGATATGGACTCTGCCACAAGTTCGCATTACGATTTGCTTGCCTCCGTCTTAGGAAGGTACGGCAAATTTCATAGACCTTTGTGACTCATTTTCAAAGTTACCATACCTCTCTCCCTCTCTCTTCATTTTTTCGTCCTTGTTCTGTTATTTTAAATCAAGATGTAGTTCAATTATTTTGAATGCTTTAATTAACTTTTCTCTGTCTTTAAAGAATCCTATGTTCATCCGAATAGTTACGCGTTTGATTTGACAGCCATGAAAGGGCCAAAGAAGCCATCTATTACTCATATAACCGACACATCAATGGCTTCGCTGCGTTGCTTGACGAGGATGAGGCAGCACAGATCAGGAGTGAGAGACCCGTACCCTTATATTATACATCTATCAGATTTAAGTAAATTATATATTGTATATGATATACTCCCTCCGTTCCTTATTATAAGAGACGAATAACCGAATTACGTTGATCAAAAAAACAGTTAAAATTAGTTAAGAACAATAAATGTGTAAAAAGTATAATTTTTTTCCCAAAAATACCCTCATTAATAAGGAGAGAGAGCATGAGAGAGAACAATAGTAAATTCTTAAAAGAAAGAGAAGTGGGAAGGAGAGAGAGTGTGAGTTGGAGACAATAAATATGGGTAAAATGGAAAATCAACACAAAAAAGTAGAGACAACTTTTAAGTGTCTCTTATATTTAGGAACATGCTATAAGCATCAAATGTCTCTTATAATAAGGAACGGAGGGAGTATTGAATATTGATAGTGATTATTAATACAAAATGGTTGGAAATTTTGACGCAGAAAATCCAAAAGTAGTGTCGGTGTTCCTGGGCCAATCTCATAAGCTGCATACGACCAGATCATGGGGTTTTCTGGGGCAAGAAAGAGACGGAAGAGTCAGAGCTGACTCAGCTTGGGTCAAAGGAAGATTTGGCCAAAATGTCATTATTGGCAGTCTTGATACCGGTAACCATGTGGAATTGAAATGAAATAAATAGCTACATCTATATATGTCTCCCCTTAACAAAATTAAAGCTATTTAAGTTTCTACAAATCCGTAGAACATTTGCAACGACAAGATTAAAATTTTTCATCATGACCTTTTATCGGGTAGGTGTTTGGCCGGAATCCAAAAGTTTCCGAGATGATGGGTATGGTCCCGTCCCAAGAAAGTGGCGTGGAGGATCAAAATGCGAGCTTTATAGTCTGTCCGGCCCACGTAACACAACTCTTTGCAACAGGTTTCATCAAAACTAGATTACAAGTCTGTTGGCCAATCTTTGCATTTAGAACCGGAGGAATATTTTATAACAGTAATCATGGCATTATCATTCGATCTATTTAAAAGAAAAGATTAAGATTGCCGATGAACACATTTCAGCTGGATAATGCACTTATATTTTTTTTAAATAATAAAATGCTGATTTCTGATTTCTAAAGTGGACTGGAAGCTGAACGAAGTCCTGGGTAGAGGTGAAGGATCATTTGTATGTTTTTGGTCATGAAACAGGAAGCTGATAGGAGCAAAAACGTTCCATAGCGCGTACGAGATAAAACACGGGCGGCTTACAAGTGGAATCAGCGCTCGTGATGAGCAGGGGCATGGGACCCACACTCTGTCGACAGCAGGTGGCAACTTCGTGCGAAACGTCAGCGTTCAGAACAACGGCAACGGAACAGCCAAGGGAGGATCTCCCAGGGCTCGTCTCGCAGTGTACAAGGTTTGCTGGGGCCGTCATAGTTCTGGAGATTGCACTGATGAAGATCTGCTTTCTGCTTTCGATCAAGCCATCGACGACGGAGTTGATGTTCTCTCCGTTTCCCTTGGTCGGAGCGCCGTGCCGAATGTTAATGACATGTTGACCAACGGCATCTCTATAGGATCCTTCCATGCGATCTCCAGGGGAATCATAGTTGTTGCCTCCGCCGGTAACGACGGACCAGAACCGGAGACAGTCACAAATGTAGCGCCTTGGATCTTTACTATTGCTTCTGGCTCCATAGACAGGGAATTCAGCAATAACATTACTCTTGGTAATGGCCAAATCATTAAGGTTCGTGTCGCTTCTCTTCTTTCAATAATTACATATTGATTTTGTTAGTTTTCCCTCTCTTAACTCTGTCCATGCCTACAATCAGGGCACAAGTCTTGCCATAAACTCCGTATCTCAAAGGTTAATCCCTGTGGTTCTTGCTGGCAATGTCAGGCTTCCTAATGCAACATTTCAAGATGCGTAAGAATGAATCAATCATTTCACAATTCCTGATGCTTTCTAAGCTATGTGTAAACTGTCAGTAGTATGAACACGTGCGTGCATTTTGGTTGCTCTGTTGCAGTCAGCTTTGTAGACCAGGAACGCTTGATCCTCGCAAAGCAAGGGGTCGCATATTGCTGTGCCAAAGAGGGAGAAGCCTAAGGCCTGTGGATAAGGGCGCAGAAGCAAAGCGTGTAGGCGCATTGAAAATGATTTTGCAAAACGATAAGCAATTGAACACACGTACAGCTGATGCTCAGGTCCTTGATAGTTCCAATATTCCTCTAGACGGAGGTTCGCATGAGGGTGAAACAGGTCAATACACGTATTTCGGCAAAAAGTAATTAACATAAATCTTTCTCATGCGACAATCCATTTGGAATTGCTCCGAAATAAATATTTTACAGTGACAGAGCTCCATTATTTCTCTATATACATATATATATATAAAATGCAGGAAGCCACTTGCAGCAATGAATAATGCAAAAACATTCATACCAATAAGGCCAGCTCCAAGAGTTTCCGCATTCTCATCAAGGGGACCCAACGTGATTCTTCCCTCGATCCTTAAGGTTATAGATCGATTCATTCTCACACACTCTACATCCCCCAGTCATCAAGTATTGTAATTCTTAACATTTGGATTTTTTTTTAAAAAAAATCTTTTACAGCCCGATGTAACAGCACCAGGTCAGGATATAATTGCTGCTTATTCACCTGCTGCAAGTCCCACCAACCTCGATTCAGATGATCGTCACTTTAACTTCAATGCTTTATCCGGAACCTCAATGGCATGTCCTCATGCTGCCGGCATTGTTGGTCTTGTCAAAACTCGCCATCCTAATTGGAGTCCTGCCATGATCAAGTCGGCAATTATGACAACTGGTATGACATACATTAGCTAGTCTTCTTTCATGTTTACAATTTGATTCCTCTCTTTTCTAACAAGTATTAAAAAAAAAAAAAAAACTATGTTGTTACAGCAAGCATACTGGATAACACCAATAGACTGATTGAGGACGAACAAGATGGTCGAGTAGCAACTCCGTTTCATTACGGCACAGGCTATGTCAAACCCAACATTGCAATAGACCCTGGACTTGTTTATGATCTCAAAACTTCTGATTACCTCAACTTGTTATGCTTTTCTGCGTATGAGGACAGAATAATTGAAGCTATCAACTACAATAGGCCATACAAATGTCCGAGGTCTTACAGACTAGAAGACTTCAACTACCCTTCTATCACATTGCCTTTTCTAGGTGTGAAACCTGTTAATGTTACTCGTATAGTAACAAATGTTGGGGCTCCGGGCACATATACTGTAAATGTCAAACCTCCAAGAGGATTTAAGGTTGTTGTTGTTCCGACAACTTTGACCTTTCAGAGGACAAACCAGAAGAAGAGCTATATGGTTATTTTGCAGGCAACACGTTTAGCCCAAACTTCAAAGCCTTCATTTGGAGAGTTGACATGGACAGATGGCAAGCATAGAGTGAGAAGTCCTATAGTAATCCCTCAACATGCAAAGATGGCTGTGTAGATTTCATCGTTGCCAGTCCACTGTACGTGTTTGAGTAATAATGTGCGATGCGGTAGTGTTAATTAGCGTATGCCCAGATGCGTGTGAATGTACTCATCTTTGTCATATGTTACAATAAAGAGAGGGGTCTACAATCTGTAGTAGGTCCTCTCGCAACTTTCTCAAATTCTGATTTTTTTTAATTTAAATTTTATATTTTTGCTATCTCCTTGAAACCAGTAGTCTTGAAAAATTTGTTGCTTTTCTAGAGAAAATGGATGCACGTGTATATTTCTGCAAGAAATCACACCAAACTTCAGACATCAAACCTTCATTCAACATCTAAAACTTTAGCGACAGAGATAGAGGCCTTGGAAATCAAGTTGCAAAAAGACCTATTTAACTATTTTGATTAACTCACTATAAAAGTGACGTTTCTACATGTTTTACCACAGCCTTATGTAACTTCATGACATTCCGGAAAAAACTGTCGTCTTTTTTCTAGTTTTTTGGCAGACATCTGTGGCGTATTGGATTTTAGATTTTTAGAACAAGTGCTTTCAGAACTCGACAAAGAAAGAAAACAACAAAAGAAGAATTAGACTTTACAGCCCATTAACCTCAATTATGTCATCTCAGTTTGGAGAATATTCAAAAGGACTGAAAGAAATTAAATAGTGTCTAGTATTATTGGTTGGGCCGACTTTTGGAACGTAATATGAATAGAAAAACTCATGTTGGAAGAGCTTTTCAATAATTATGGAGCCATATGACTCTAATTTGGCTTGGTCGGTGATATCATATACACCACCTCCAGTCCTAATTATAAAATCTTGTTTGTAGTGTACAAACAGTATCTTATAATTAGGACCGGAGGTTGTAATATGTCTACAAGTGAGGTCTTATAATTAGGACAAGAGGCGGTATATAACATAATTTGTCACAAAATAAAAAGAAATTAAATTATGTATGTTGATCATGCTAGTCGTATGACACTCAAATTAATCTTAAATTAACCCCTATATATTACAATAATCAACCTAGATCGATTCTCTATGCAATAGAGTCTATTTTAGTTTGGTTCCTAGTTTAATTAATGCAAATGCGCAATTAAAGGAAATAGAAGAACTAAGAAAATACTCCTCCGGTCCTTAATATATAACATATTTAACTATTTTGATTAAATTAAGAAGGTTAGTTAAGTTAGCTAATAATCATGAATGTGGCATATGTTTCCCAATATTCCCTTGGTTAAAACTTCTTTAAAAAACTGACATTTCAAAAAATGTTTGCAATTAGTTTATTAAAAATATAAAGCGCTAAAATTGATGTATGTGTGGAATTAATGAGTAATAAGTATTCTCTCACTTTATAAAATATATAGGTGTATTATTAATGAGTAATAAGTATTATTGTGGTATTTAATTATTTAATAGGAATAATTTAGAAAAAATTAGTAAATATGATAAATAGGTCCTATATTTTGAACCAAGACTAACCTTCTAATTAGGTTCTATATTAAGGACTAAAGGAGTTGTTTTTTTGGACCCTTTATGTTATAAATGATGAAAGGGAATTAAGAAAATAAGAAAAGAGGTAGCATAGGATCACTAGGCTTCTTGAAAACAAGAAGAAGCTGCTGCTCGAATCTCGCAATTATGTCCCTTCGGCGCAAACAAAGGAATGCTTTAGATCGCTTATATTTGACGTATAATATCTCTTAGACTCTTTTTTTTTTATATTTTATTTTTACTGTAAGAAGCACTTAATTAACTGGGATATATTAACAAAATCAAATAAATTATTTAATTATAACAAATATGAAATGATCTTTCTAAATATTTTTTTATGTAATATTAAATTATATATCATTTTGTAAGTGAGATAAATTAATTTGGGGGGAAAATGATAATTACAAGACATAAATTAGATTAAGAAGTTATAGTTAGGATCAAAATTAATTTCTTAATTAGCTCCTATATTTAAATCTGGAAGAGTATCACGTAGTTCCAGCTGTGCTTATAATCTTTTTGTTGAATAAAAGTGTTGTAATTTTAAGCGATTGAATTAAACAAGTAGCATTAGATATTTTGACAGGAAAAAAGAAAAAAAAGTTATAGGAAAGGAATTGATTATCAAAAAAGAAAATTAAAGGAAGGGAACTATGAATAGGACTTGACCCATGAGTCACTGACTCTCTGTGTATTTTGGTAGGCATAAGTATTTTGTTATTGGAGACAATCCTATTTGAGACACGGTTAGATACTAAATATGTGCACATCTCTCAGCAAGAATTCGAATATTAGTTCACTATGATGTGTCTGATTAGTTCATTCTGTTAGACCCAATGTCAATTGGAAACTCATTGTATATATGTTTTCCAACAAGAATAGCTTTTGATGGTTGAGGCCAGGAAAGAAAAAGAGAAAAAAAAAATGACTGAGTCTATTAGTATATTATCACCTGAAGCTGTACCTGCGAGCATATTTCGTTCTTGGTTCCACGCCCAGAAAACTCCAAAGTTGGTTTGTTAGAAGGATTTTTTTTTTTTAATAATGGAAATGGAGCAAGAAAGGGTACAGAAATGATGGGAAAGAAAAAGTGGTATGCGAAAGAGAGAAAGAAAGAGAATAGGAATGAGTTTTAAAATCATGTGTCTCTGTGTGTGTGTGTGTGTGTGTGTGTGTGTGTGTGTGACTTTTATATTGGACGTATGAATTAATTAAGCATGAAATTAAAAGGGAAGCCAGAAACATTGAACAGACTATACAGGCCTAATACAAAAGGAAGCAGATGGGAATCTGGCAGTTTCCTCTCCCTTTCCATTTCCAAAGAACAAATTCCTTCCAACCAAACAGGCCTCAATGACTTTCTTTTGCGAATTATATTTCTCTTTATTTTGTTTGATGTCAGAAGCTTTCACGACAAAATCACCTTTTTCTTCTTTTAATAGTGATAGGAGGAATCACGCTCGTCTAAAGGAAAATACAGGAATCACTTTTTTCTTTATTCCTTGAAAAATAAAGTATGCGCAGTGCAAAACTTGGTTAAAGAGAAGGAACGGCTCAATCAAAATGACCCTTGTTTAATATGTTGACTATAAAAGGAGCTAGAACAAGAGCACATCGTGCAAAGCGAAGAATAATATCGTAATGAAAATAATAATTTAACTAAGTCCGTTACTAATTAATCCAATATTTGAATTAATGAAGGTATATAAGATGTTGTGCTTTCTCTCATGAAAAAGTAATATTCCGAAAATTCATAAAAGATTATCCTTTGAATTTATTAGAGACGATACATAAATTCATGAGACTACCTATTCACAATTATTGTAACTATTAAGTGCTAATGATTACTTGATTGAATCAACGTCAATAATAAAATTTATAACAAATTGTATTATTTATAAATTTTAAATAATACTCCTCTGATTCTATTTATAAGTCGCTTTTAACATTTTTCACACAGATCAAGAAAAACCTTAAACTTCATCGACTCTCTTTTAAAATTCAATAACTTTTCAACTTTAGCCCTTTTTAATATATATTATATCTTATGTAAATAAAGTTTACTAATAATAAATAGAGGGTAAAACTATATATCTGTACAAAAAATTTCTTTCACTGCCCTATAAATATAACCAAAAAATATCTTCTTTCTTTGCCTTATAAATAGGATTAGAGGAGTACAACTCATTTTTTTAAACTCCTTGTTATATATAAGAAAATATTGGCCCTACGGCGAATGCTCTTCTAACATTTTTCCCCCCTTACCACTCACGGTAATCAATATTATTATACATTATTTAATTTCCTTCATTTCTTTTGAATATTTCCCAAAGTGAGATGACATAAGTGTGTTTACTGACTTATAAAGCTAATTTTTCTTTGATCTTTTGTCTCCAATTGTCGACATCTTTAAGCACTTCTTCTAATTAAAGGTGACCTCACTTTATGGTCCTGTTTATCCTTTTAAAGCAATATAGTTTGCAAAATGAATATCTAAATGTCTAAAGGAAAGAAATACTGTGTTAAAAGGAGAGGGTTAATTATATGGTCTTGGAGTACATATTCTCAACTTATTATCTCCAAAGAAGATTATTTTCCGCTGATCATTTTTAAGGAGTTGATTATATGCATGCATGTGTGTGTGTGTGCTACGTCCATCTATGCTTAATATTTATAAATTCGTCATGTTTAACAAAAACTGAACAAAACAAGAAGGAAAAAAGATGTAAACAACACATTATTTGACTAACACTACAATTATAATTACAAAACAAAAGTGCAAGAAAGAAAACTTGAACATGTCCACTAATGATGGTTACATCTTCAGGTGATTAGAACAAACTACGAAGATATACGTGATTCTTAGATATTGATAAAAATGTCAAAAGATGGGTTGTTATAGTTCTTTACTTGCGGGTCTCCCCACTAAGCATATAATTATATATCCATTGTTACATACAATTCAATAATGGGGGATTTTACTGTAACACAGCCCTTCACTTTTGGAAGACTCACACTTCATTAAAAGAAATGAATGAAGGAGATAAGAAGCAAGTCATATGTGAGTAATTAAAGCATTTGTATGCATAATGCATTACTTTAGATAAAGAGAAAGAAGTGACTCAATCAATTGATGAGCTTATATATCCTAGGATTATAATTGAATGGGGAACACTAAGAGCACATAGAATAAAGATGACAAGAATAACATAGTAACAAAGATAATAATATAACTGAGTCCATGAATTAATGATCATCTTTAAACTAGGATGTTAAATGTATTCACATGTGGAAAGTTTATTTATTTTTCTTTGTCTTATCACTATAGAAATCAAATGCCACATGGAGGACAGAACTGATGTCTTATATATTTATTATGTGTACATATGATCGTAATAACAATATATTTTGGTGGCCAATTTCAACATTTTCCTTCGTCATCACAAAGTAGATATATAAAAGAATTGGAACAATCGCATAAAACCTATAGGTAGGACTAGCATAATGTGT